GCTAGCCGGCCGTACTACGGTAACTCTGGTCCTGTCACGAGATGGAAATTAGGAATGACGGCGTCTATAGACTGGTTTCAATGTATCCATGATGCTAATTTTGAGGTGCACTCATACGTAATCTTAACGCATAATTGACCTCTCCAGCTATGCCGCCCAAATGACGGGTAGCAGGACAACTTTTTTAAGTAGTTGGTATATTTTTACGCAAGTTCAAGTTCTGTTAAGGGGCTTACTGTAAGAATGTTCATCTCAGATTCAGCTTCTACTTTTTAAAATGCCCTAGCGATGACTTACGTAACTGCAGAAACTTTTCTGGATTTACCAGATTCAGTTGTTATATTTTATTGAACTGCTGGTAATCAATTCATAACGACTTTTGCGACCGAAGTACTGAATAAGTTCCAACACCAAATTAGACGTCTGGACCAACACTGCAAATTAATGGTAGAAACTGTTACATTATCCATATGCGAAGTAATTCTGAAGCTAACACAATTACAGAATGAATGCTGAGCTTGCCCAGACCAGAGCTCATCTACAAAACGTTGTGATGATTACAATGTTATTCTAAAACAAAAATTTTAGGTGGATGAAACATCCAGAGCTGTAGCAGCCATCTCCAAAAATAAAAGACTAGCGCAAAACAGTTTTAAGTAAGTAAGAAAATCCCACTACTCTTACTAATCGGAATAGCGTAATCTGTATAGCACGTTTTTACAATATTATAGCGACTATAAGCCTATCTCGACATTAACAACCTGCAAACACCAGATTCGTTACCGCGTTATGTCAAGCTTTAGGCTCAAAAAGTTGGAGATGTCATAGTAAACATGATGTAGAATCTTTGTTCGTCCGTCTTCCTCTGCAGAGTGTTCTAAACGGGAACTGCCGAGCTTTTGTTTAGAAGCTAAGATAAAGTCGTTGATTTACATAGTAGACGGCGCTTCGGTCTGTAGCTTTTGGTATGAAGTCATTCAAGTAGGGAACCTTAGAAGTTCTCCTAACTAGTAACTGATAGTTTGTGAAGCTGCTTAAGTGGTGACACTTTTCTTACATAAGACACAATTTCAATAATTTTCTGGACAATTTATAAATTTCTTCAATAATACTTGCCAGACTCCTAATTCTGCTGTGCACCCTTGAAATTTGCTCTCTTTGACAGTGCTTTTGGTATCTGTAGAGTGCGAGAGAATTTCCTTTGTGCAAATATGAATCTTTCAGATAAAAGTTATATAAAAAATGCTGAGATGTTTTTAAAACCTCGACAGGTGGGTAGAGATAAAAAACTTTGCAAAAGTAGCTAGAAATGAGAGCAAAATGGAATTACTCTTTTACGTGTTGAAGATTCCAATACTTTCCAAACCTGACACTTTTACTATACCAAAAACTTCTCGACTAAGTGATTTTATTCACATGGCACTGATGGCCGACACAACTACTCACAATAATATTGTACAACTGGAAAACGATTTTCACTATACAGGTATATAACATCATACCCGGTGAGCACAATGAGACGACTAAAACAGTTAAAACATGGAATCAGAAGGAAGATGAGAAAATTAATCATTTGTTTCTGAAAACTCACTACACCTAGTTTATCACTAGATTTAAAGTAAAATAACACAGTGGACGACACCAAAAACAATTTTTAAACATTCAGAAAAAAGACTACTTACATCCTCTTCTTCACTCAGCCAACTCTCTTGGCCACTCTTTATAGAAAATACTCGTGACTGTGACAAACCTATAATATATAAACTGCTTCCACGAGAGAGAAATCAGAATGTAGTTTGAGAGTACGAAGAAATAATTAATGAGGTAACATTCTACAGATTTATTTAGATTGCAGCACCATAAACACCATGAAAAAATCTGCAGAATAGCAGATGGCTCAATACTCGTGAAGATTTTATTCAAGAATATAAAAAGCAGATCATAGTTGGAAAAACCTGTCACAAAGAAACTGAAGTGCTCAAATTCACAGGCTCATATACGGTAAATGTTAACAGTCACGAACTAAAGAATAGAACTGAACCATTTTAAGAACACTGTGGTGAAGGAAGCCCTTCAAGAGGAGTACGTTAAATTTTATGGAGAAGTAAGGCCCCAAAATCTGCATTTCTTAAAGTCTTTTTATTCTTAAATGACTCTCAGGATATGGACTAAAAACCTCTAACTTCGCAGGAAAAGTGCTGGAGTCTGGACTATCTCTATCAAAAAATCTCTTAAAAGACTTATATGGCCAACTTTATTTACCAATCAAGTGTTAATGGAAACTAGTTACAAAAGAAATCTGACCTATATTAAGAGCTACCACAAATACAGTTATTTTTTGTAACTTCTAGCATTTAGAAGCAAAGATAACTAATTTATAATAAAACTGAATTAAGCTGATACAAGTGAGTTTCGCTTATTGCGGTGAACAAAAAGAAAAGAATCGAGTTGGAGTGTTTTTCCAGTTCAAATCCAACTTACTTCACCCTGGCCCCTCCTTATCCCAATTCTTCCCTACCTTTCCCATCTGTTTACCTCATCGAAACCGAGCAAAAACCATCCAAATGTATTCAAAATCCGCCTATCTTACTAACTTGTCGTCTCCAAACCATTTCTTGGACAGCCAATAAATACTCAAACAACTGCAACCTTCTATATCTGTTCTTAAAAACCAAAAGAACTTCGACGACGCTCTTCTTACTGAAAAGGAAGTATAATAAGCAGCACTGCTCAAAGAAAAATCAAATTATAAATAAACAATAGAAAAAAAAAACTTTTGGTACCAAACAATCTGTAGAGCAAAATTCTACGAAGCAGCGTAGTTTTTCCCGGAAAAAGCCCTTTGCCAAAACTGCCGCTACAGACTTATACTGGCCTAACAATATACTTCAAGGCTCAGCAAAAGATAACAGAGTAAATCAAATACTACACAAAAAGACAAATTAACTGTATAATAAGCACATACTTCTGATTATTTTAAGTTACCTTAACATCAGTTTCTCAGCTGACTAATCTTTAGCAAAGCAACCAAGACTTAACTTCCTTAGTCATACTCCATCTTTCTCACAGCGTCTCCAGGACAAGTTCTACAAGTGTTGAAACACCAGTAACCTTCACTTCTGAGTGTTTAGCTAGATGACTTAGGTGAAGACACTGCAAATTGCTAAGCCTTCAGAAAGCTGGAAGCAATACCAGCAAAAAAACTACAAATCCCTGACTGACAAAAAGTCATATATCTTTATTCATTTATTCCATATAAAAACTGTTCGATTCGAATAAAATCTAGAGATCTCTCAGGTGCTGAAACCTTCCCTTACTATTCGCATTAAAAGGAAACGCTAGACCACCAGCAAATTTTTAGATAAAAATTGAAAAACTTATTGTATGAGACTGTATAAGAATGGAAAGATTTGAGGTATAAAACAGAGGTATTAATAGGACAAACAACTTTGCGCCGCAAATAAGAATATGCGCCTTTAATCAGTTCATGTGGGAAAGCGTAAAAAAAGGAATTATATTCTAACTTAAAACTTCATGTCTCAATATACCTATACTAATAATCCTAAGTCCAAACACAGTTATAAGGCCCTCCTGTTACGCACGTCCCACAGACTTCTATGCTAGAAAAAGCATAAAACTAAATTGTTCCCTTGTTCCTTTCTCAAATTCCTACGTTTTTACAAGCCGGCAGCCAACAAACCTTCGCCATCAGCTTTATGCAGATTCTTTTAAGTATCTGTCACGAATTCTCATAAACTTGTCGGTTCAGGTACAAAACTCGTTGTTTTTGTGTTGTTAAACCTGAACGCATGACTGTTTTACGTTAATTAGGAAGATGAAATGAGCTGCAGCAGGAATAATTTCATTCTGAATTAGTAGGGCGAAATATTATTAAGGACTCATAAAAATCGACGAGAACCTGAAAGAAATTGGTAGATATCAAGCTTGCTATTATTCTTCTAAAAATTTAAATGGGCTCTTAAATCAACATATTAGCAATGTTTTTGCAATTTTTTTAACATTTGAACTATGCAGAAAATATTACCACAAAAATTCACAACAAAATTTGAAAAATTTAAAACAGTAAAAGGAATTTTGCAGAATTACAGCCCACCCCTTCCTTTACCTTTCCAAACAAACCTGAGGATTCATTTTAACAAGATCCTTCGTTGGCAGCAGTGTGTAAGTACCATTTTTATATTTCACTACAGCATTTAAAATACCATCACTACCTCTCTTGACGCCAATAACGGTTTCAATGTCACCATTACCCTCATCTTAAATGTCGAAGTGACCAATATATGAATATGATTTCAAAAGGCGATTGAACAAAGAATCATAGTTTAAAGAGGTCCCTAATCAAAGAAAAAAAAAAAAAAAAAAAAGAAATTTGAAGGCTCACTCTATTGAAAGCAAAATATTACTTGATAAAAAATAAAAATTGGCTTAAATCACTACTTAGTAAAACAAATCATCAAAATGTTGCAGCCTTGCTTTTCTACAGTTAACTGATAAAGAGATACAAAGTGCTCACCATTAATTCGCTCTTGTGCCGATTCTGTTTCTGGGCTGGAAGACATTCTTTCCGTGGTGGACATAGTGTTAGGCGAACTTCCAGAACTGCTACTGAGCTAAAAAAAACTATAAACAGTAAAGCATACAAAGTCTTCAAAAATAAATAAATAAATAAATAAATAAATAAATAAATCATCGATCTGTGAAACTAACTTTTAAATTGCTACGTTTCCTATCCTTTCTTTTCTTGGTTTTTTGAAGCCCTTTCAAATCTTTTTTCCTTGCTTCTTCAGCCTCAAAATCAGCAATAGCTCCCTTCGCGGACACCTAAGCGTAAAACCCATTCAATATGGACAACAACAAGAATAAGCAAAAACTAAAAGAGATAGAAGGGCAGCTTCTAGCATTGATCGAAACATTAATAACCGTCTCAGAAATCTAGACCGTTTATAACACGATTTCTATGTTAACTGCAAACATTTACGTCCTTTCAAAAAATGCACCAGAACTCCTTTACTCCGACTGATAATTTACAAAAGAAAGTTTTAACACCTGTACAGTGCTTGAAAACGACACAAAAAATAAGATGAAGAACTGCCCGAGCAAATATTCTGCTCCACAGAGCATTAATAACAGTTGCCCAAAAAACACTTCCAAAATGAAAAAATAAATACACAAATATTTACGTCAACCTCACACGGCATGTCAGAAGGTCAACACAATGAACTTGAAATGCTTACTACGCTTCTGATACGGATAATCTAAGAAAATCTTTTGTAAATTAGTGAACAAAAACATGACCTACACAATTCTCTTCGGGCTCCCAGGTGCTTTCCTCAATTTCATATCCTTTCCATTTAACTAAATATTCTACTCTGCCGGACTTCTTCAGGATTCTTTTTTTGAGAATTTTTTCTACAACATACTCATCTGGTTCCCGATCGTCGTCAAAATCACTCTCAGAACTTGGTTCTTCTTGCTTCTGGACCTTGCCTTCCCGATCGCACGTGCTTTCTTCTGCAGCAACAAAGGCAGAATTTTCCGCAGGCGATTCACCAACCTCAGAAGAACCAGTTCTTTGCTCAGATACAAAATAACCCATTTCTGCAGTGACCTGGATAACGTCTTCAGTACTATTTAGCAGAAAAAACCATTACGCTTACATGGTGCTAATCATAGCATTTTAAAGGTGCTTTCACTTCTCACTCATTGTATGAAGATGCTATACAACCACCCCCTGATAATTATTCCAGAAATGCTTTCAACAAAACTATTCTATCGATAATTTTAAATACGTTTTAACAGCCCTTGAGATAAAACTAAGAATTTGGAAGAAACTTCAAGTCACGTACAGCACGTGATACTACACATTAAAAACCCTTGTAGCAAAGAGTTTCAACAGCAGACTTAAAACAAATTTCCACACAATTACTGAAAAGTGAATAATCTAATGGTTGAGTAAATTAAGAAAGATGTAGGGTGATCTACCTTATACTCCCCCTCTTCGAGTTCATCGTTATGCGTACTTGCTGCTAATAAAGAAGAGTCTGAAAGAAGATTCTCAACATATCTGAATGGTACGCAGAATCACGAGTGTGTGCTGATATAGAATTTGAAAACCAGCAATACTCAGCTAATGTATTTTCCATACTGTATGAAGCGCTCTGGTATAACCAACGAAAAGGTCCTGATAAAAAAAAAAGTTGTAAAAAAGAAACCAGAAGCCTCCTCGATTTCTTCACTCCTTTCAGAGAGAATAAGCGTTGCTGTTTATTAGCGTTACTTCAGTTCTACATTACCAACAGTGATCTTACAACAGATATTTAACAAACAAGAAGTCAGAAACACAGTCGAGACGACCTTTCCACATCTGTTTCACTTATACCAACTCTTTTTATTCACTGTCAGTAACGAATCCAGTAACAAACTGAAGACCATGGAAGAAGACTATCTTGTACAACAAACTGACCGCCAGGAATTATCGCTTTCTCACTCGGACAGTGTAAATCGTTTTCTGAAACGTAGGGTGGAGTCTCGAGTACAACCTCATGCGGTTCAAGATTATAGCGGGAATCATCTGAATGCGGGGAAAACCGACCTTCGTTATCAAAGAACTCAGACCCACTTTTACTCATCAACCTATAAATTGAGGGTTCACCACATAACGCTTTTTTTGAAGACGACATCAGAATACTGGTAAATAAGCAACTTTAAAAATAGGTTAACTGGTAAACAATAAAACTAGTGAGGAAGACTATTGCTGAAGTGTCAGCCAATGAAATTATGTAGCTGATTAATCGGCCTAAATCGATTAATGCGCATTTAGCTTTTTCAGTTTTAAAAATTTGTATTTGTAGTTGCATCGGTTCGAAAGTATGAAACGTGCAAAAATTTAAACAATTTTTATAAAATACTGAACAGCCTCATCAAAAAAACTCAACCGACGAAATTTGCCAAACAGAAAACGCATATTGTGTACACACATTACGAATTTATAAAAAACCTGCGTAAAGAAACAACTACTGCCTTCAAAACAAACAAAGTTCGTCTAAAAATTCACTTTTAAAAACTTAAATGGAATAAAACAAAACGAATGAAAAAGAAACAGAAAAATCATGTATATATAATACAATCGCTTAGCTCACTAAGCTCTGTCTATGATAACTTCCGCTTTTTGATTTCTTTCCAAAATCAGCGCAAAAGGAATGCGCACTTTCAATTCAAAAAAGAGTTGTTATCAGCAAAACAGGATAAGAGTTAAGGCGACACTTCAGCACTAGGTCCTTGAAAAATCACAAAAAAAAAATATTTAAATAACTCTTAAACTGTAGTAAATGAACCAAACGGGAGAGATAACTATATCATGTATAAAAATAAACGCAGGTTAACATTAACAAAAGATAGAAAAGGACATGCTTGGTGACGGATAAACTTAACTGCAATACCGCCACAAGCGATCAATTTCAGGAAACCCATTCTTTTGGCAGTCAAAATTAAGCCAGCAGGCCAGGAGGAATACCTTACTGGACCATTCATCCTACCGCTTCATTAAATGTTCCCTTTCTGTTCCCTGCGTTTATTTCTATAAATGATATAGTCCACCAACATAATTCAAAATTCAGCGCCCTACTTTGGCCAAAAGTACCATATGGCGCCACTAGATTACACAGAAAACTACAACCATTTTTTAGGAGCAAATCGATTTGACCCCCGTAGGTCTCGAGGTGGTGTGCATTTAGTTCGAGTACAGCAAATTTTCTTTAACGTTTACTCGACACATTTTTTAGACAAAAGTTCTGCATATCGCAGTTTTTCTCTCCAACTTTTTTAGTAACTGTTCATTACAATACAAAAATAAGACACTTGCACAATTTTCAATTTTTGAACTTGTTCATACCTATACGCAACACAATTTGAAACAGTCCACCACTCTTCAGTCCATTTAATTTTTCAAAAAAAAAAAAAAAAAATCATATATGAAAGTTCCCGCTGTTGTACTTTCCTCTAATCCTTCAAATCTCATTAACTTCAAATAAATTTTGATTTTTAGAAATAATTTTTGTGCACATTAATGTTTTGTATTTTGTTTTTCACTCCTGTACAGAATAACAGAAGAACTGGTTTAATCTAGCGATAAATGTACCACTATTTAAAATGAGACCTAGAGGCGCCTTAAAAATTAAATTTTATATCACTGGACGGTCAAAGGAAATCCAGAAAAAAGATCAAATTTAGAATCTTCACACCACGGCACTTTTTAAACGCCGAAAGATGAGGCCCCCATTTCCGATACCAGAAAAACACAAGCCTTCAAAACGCAGGCATAAAATATTACATTTTTGACTTTGTTCTTTTATCTTCAGCACATTCCTTCTAACTATAAAAACCTTCACAGCGAACAGTTTTTAGTTCGACAAACAAAAAAGCTGTTGAAAATTATTGCAAAAGGAAACGCTTTAATTTGAAAAAAGAAAAATTTGCAGAAAATTCGCAACGATGGCACTTTGCCAAAATTGAAAATTTGAAAAGATTTTCACTTTAGCGGGATGAGATTTTGTATGCTAAAAGCAATCTTTGCACTGCTCTGATTAAGAGTGGTAGACAAGGGGTTGCCGCTGTTGAAAGGCATTTGTGTAAGATTAGACTAGGGACTGGGGTTGTTTTCTGAAGGTGCTGAAATAAGCTAGAAGTGCTAAAGAATTTTGAAGTATAATGCGTGCAGTCATTTGAGATCTATGACAGATAAACAGCGTGAACCTTACCCCTGCGGTTCAGTGAAATCAATCAATCGCCAACAACCAGACTGTTATTGTCATTACAGCAGCGTTTTCTATAACTTGTCGCAAAATGCAGACGAGACTAAACGAACAGCATTCAACATAGCTGTCTCAAGAATTGAGACCAGAAGCTCAACTGTTTTCCTATTCTTAAATCGTCAGAAAAGTCATCACTAATTTGACTCTTAAAGAAGGTTGAACTTTCTAGTAAACTTGTAAAAAGTTAGTTGGTTGTTCCGAGATAAACCTGTGCGTTCTGATGTTGTGATGAAGAATGTTGTCATTTAAGTTATCATTTTTGTTTTTGCTACTATCGTTATAGGTGGCCACTAGTAGCACCACTTTGGAGCGACTTCCACCTCGTAGATGTCGCATAGCTCAGAAAAGTTCTGTAAAAATTAGTTGAAACCTACTTACCAACTACGATAATTAGATTAACCTGTTTATGTTACCATTTAACTTAATGAAGCAAAACAATGATGTACTTGGGAAGCTTGAGCAAACCATTTGTATACTCTGCAGGGTTTCTTTCACTTATTGTAGATCACTGGATGGGAAAGACCAGAGATAGCATAATCTTGAAAATAACTGCTTTTGGTCTTTAACTTTTTAAAGACCTATTTGCGCAATGATATAACTATGTTTCCAAAAGGCAGTTTTTTTGAGCTGCTGTTCGGGAAGTTAGTTCTGCTTCGTCAATTTCTATGAGGTTTTACTTTACCGTGGGCTGTAACACTGTTTTTTGTTAGAATTTAATGGCTTAGGAGTATGTGAACAATGTTGCTTTTTTGCAAGTTTGAAAGGTGTTGCAAATGAATTTAAGCTACAAATAAACAGCTGTACAGGGCATATTTCGAGCTAAGTGCTGAATGACAAAAGTGAATTCTAAGACTTTATTTAGCCCGACTGATGATAATATATCAATTTACCAAACGATACAAAATACCACTATCGGTTATTATAACCTTAACATATAAGTGAGCAGTTTATAACACTTTCTATGATCCAGGGATAATTTGAAAATTTTAAAAAAGATTTCAAGCAGGTATATCTCACCGATTTTCTGTCAGGACTTCAAAATCAACAATTTGAGAGGATAAATAAATTGTCAGAGGGACGTGACCACAAGAAATATTGGCATATTAAACATCAAAAATACAAAATTTCACAAAAATATTTCTTAAAGTGAACAGCATATCAAGAAAATGGTTAATTGGAAAAGAAGCGTGATCAATTTTCAACAAATTAGAATTTGCAAAACAAGCAAAATGATCACTGTTCAACTACTGTTAAAACCTTAAGAATTTGAAAAGCCGATCAAAAAATGAAGAGTTTAAAATTTCAAGTCTTTAATCTGACGCAGAAAAACAGAAATCTAAATCATTTGGTAGCTGGTTCTTCAACTTGTAAATGACAAAATTCAGGCTTTTCATTTGGTCTTTGAGAGCAATTTAGAATTTGTATAAAAAAGCGCGCTCATATATAGTGATCACTGCTTTCGACAGTTAATCACTTATTTGATCAAAATATGTGAGAATTTTCGCGACAAAAATTTCGGTTAGTCAGCTTACAAAATATGCAGTAATCACTATTGAGGCGTTCAATGGACATTAGTTGTTGAGCAGATAGTGTATTTATCAGTGGGATTTTGCAGTTAAGGATGGTTCTGTTTCAACCAAGAAACATTTCTGCGTGCAGATGTTCTGCTTACCTAAGGAGTACGTTTTAGTTTTATAGGTCGAAGTTGGTTAGTTGTTTAATTTTCAACTCTATAAGTGTACTTTTATTTTCAGTTGCCAGCATTTTAATCTCAAGGTAACGAGTAAGCTTCATTTGCTGTTAAAAAACATTTTATTTTAAAAAATTACTGTCAGAAAATTGTTTGGCTTTGCAGGTTTTACAAAATTGTTTTGTACCAGCCAGTTTCTTCAGCAGCAAAAGCAAACTGATTTGAAGTTTTCTGTTAAAAATGAGTCAGGAGCTTTGCTGAAAGTATTAGAAACGTTCAAGGTAAAGATTCTTATTCTTTAATTTTGTAACTTTGTCTTTTAAATGTTTTTGTATTGATTGATTTGTAGAATACAGGTGAAATAAATTTTTCCAACTGAAAAATTGTTCTCACTTTAGGATTTTAAAGTGAATTTGCAACACATTGAATCTCGGCCTTTGCCAAAGAAGGGGTTGACAGAATTTTTAGTGAGGTATGAGAAACACCCGAATAGACAACGATTTGAAGAGCTGATAAAATTGTTAGAGGCGAAAACTGAAAATCTATTAGTTGTAGGGTGCGATAAACCTCAAGGAACTTTAACAGGTGGAATTAACCTTCTGATTTCTTAGAAATTATTAGCGGTTATCTACTGTCATACCAATTCTTTTATTGTTTTCTGGAAGATTTGTGTTTTTTATGATAAAACTAGTTCAAAAAAAAAAACTTTGACAGTAAAAATTGTGTTACTGTTTACATTGGTAATTAAGCTCCTTATTTAGAAGACTCACTTTGGTTCCCAAAGCATATATCCAAACTGGATAATTTTGCACACAAGGTCTTAAGTTATGGTTCTGATTTAGATGCTGATCATCCTGTATGTCTTTGACAAAAACTTTTTTTGCTTTTTTATAAACCGATTACTAGCACTTTAAGAACTGTAATTCTTAACTGATTGTTCTTTGAGAAATTCCTCAGTCGATTAAAGTATCATGGCTCACCATAACAACATAATAAGCTAATGTTGAGGTTATCAGCTTTTAATTTTTAGGGCTTTAAAGATGAGGAGTACAGGAAACGCAGAAAGCATTTTGCTGTCATTGCAATGAATTATAAACAGTAAGTTAGTAACAAATTTTATGCGCTCGATACGTTGGCCTTAAACTGTGTTTCAAAGACAAATGTCGGCCGATAAGACCTGAGATACCCAAGTCAATTAATACTGAATCGAGCTTATTTCCTTTAGTGGAGAAGCAATACCGAGAGTGTCTTACGAAAAGAGTGAATTGGAGACATGGCGAACCGTATATACCAAACTTCGAAAGCACTACCCAGAGTTCGCTTGCGCAGAATACAATACCGCATTCAAGCTTTGCGAGCGTCACTGCGGATATGGACCGGACAATATCCCGCAACTGCAAGATATCTCAGATTTTTTAAGAGGTAACTTTAGCATTGTATTAAAGAAATCTTAGCCGGAAACGGTGCTGAAGAAAATGCTCATGTCACTTTTTCGTAATACTACAGGGCACTTAGACAGTTTACTTCCTTGTAACTTCTAGGTCAAACCGGCTTCACTTTACGTCCTGTCGCTGGACTTCTGAGTCCCAGAGATTTCCTTGCGGGTCTTGCTTTTCGTGTATTCCACTGCACACAGTATATTAGACATCACTCAGTGCCAAATTATACGCCAGAACCGTATTCTTTTTGTTTGATTGAACGGAAATTCTCTCTCTTGTTTTTTTCTTCCTCTTAATAATTTTTCTTCTCTATTCGTAAAAAAAAAAAAAAGAACAGTGGCTTATGTAACTTTCAGCGACGCCTGTCATGAACTCCTTGGTCATGTTCCACTGTTTGCTGATCCAGATTTTGCTCAGTTTTCGCAGGAGTTTGGGCTCATCTCATTGGGTGCTTCCGATGATATAATTGCGCAGCTAGGAACAGTGAGTTGACAATACAATTGCTCATCAGGTTTTAAGAATAAACTTCACTTGTTTTATTGCAATTTTTTATGGTTAACATTGTAAAATCAGAAAACTTTGCATATTTCAGCTTTACTGGTTTACTATTGAATTCGGATTATGCTTGGAGGAAGGGCAAAAGAAAGTTTACGGCGCTGGTTTGCTGAGTTCCTTTGGAGAACTTCAGAATGCAATGTCTGAAAAAGCGAGTTAATTAGAATTTGCCTTCCAAAGTCCTTTTTTAAAACCACTTTACTTGAAAACTACCTACTTTTCAATGTTGAAATAAAAAATTTTTGATTTTTTAGGCTATTATAGAAAATTTTGACCCAGATGTTGCAGCAGTAACATCGTATCCGATCACGAAATATCAGCCGAAATATTTTCTAGTGGAATCTTTTGACGATGCTCGGATTAAGCTTATGTAACATCTTTTTACCAAATTCTCCTTTTCAGTGATTTTCAAAGATATTAGCGTTAAGCGCTTTCTTTATGGCATATTTCATCGTTAGTTAACTTTATGAAACAAAGAAAGAAAAAAAGAATTAACAAACCGTTTACAGGAAATGGGCTCAAAAATCAAATTTGCGATCATATCAACTCTATTACAACCCATATACACAAAAAATTGAAACTTTGGAAAACGTTGCAGCGCTGAAAAGTATCGTTCAGAGCCTTAAGGGTAATCATTCACTGGAAAGATTTCTAGGAGAGCCAACTATTACACATATTCTAGGCAGTGTGTCAGCAAAGTTATATAAGTGATGATCCGGAAAAGTACATTTGATGGCCCACCTGAATTATCATTATCTGTCTAGAATATTTTATTTTAGGTGAAGTTGCAAAGTTAGAACAGGTTATCGAAAGCATCGGAATTTAACGTACATTCGAACAAAGTGAGGTTGAAATGGTTCAAGGATATTCTTTTCTTTTCTAGAAGTGATTTTCAATATATTTTACTGAAACTTTTTAATTGATACAGAAAGCTTGATTTCAAAAAAAAAATTTTGATCTGTAAAACTTGCTACAGATGTCATTCTCTTGAGGATAATTAGTACTTGGTTAACCTTATTAAATTTTATTAATTTTGTATGTCAGCGTTCTTTATCTGAACTACGTATGCGGTGATATCTAAAATAACGATTTGTGGTCGCTCATATTCGTCACTTGAGAACTGTTTCTTGATGACAAACAGTTTGAGTCTGGTCAGATTTGTCAAAAAAATTAGGTGTAAATTAAACTGATGCAGAGGTTTACAAGTATAATTGAAACTGTTTCATTCTGATTATAGAGTGGTTGTTCTGATTTTTTTTTTTTTCAACAATCTGCGACGATGCACTCATTCAACTCTTCTAATTAATGACTGGGCTAATTTCGTATAAGAAAAATTTTGTCTTGTTGACAAAGATTCATAGCTTTACAATGTGGTAAACACTGATGAATGAAGCAATTTTAAAAATGCACAGGAAGTAGAACA